ACATGTAGCTACTGAGATCGAGATTGAAATGATATTGAACGATCGACCCTTAACTCCGGTCGTTCAAGATGCTAACGACAAACTAGCCTTGTCGCCAAATAGTTTGTTATTATTGAGAGAATGTGACGGAATAGTCGAAGAAGGTAGCATCAGAGATAAATATGACAAACGTTGGAAACAGATTAATCATCTTGCTAATGTGTTTTGGAAAAGGTGGTTAAGAGAGTATTTACCGTCCCTACAAAAACGTCAAAAGTGGTTGGTTGAACACCGCGATTTTCAGAAAGGGGATGTAGTGATCGTAGCTTCGGACATATCAACTCGTGGAAAATGGCCCTTAGGCGTAGTTGAAGATTGTGAAATAGATGACGACGGAAGAGTTAGAACAGTGGTTGTTCGTACGAACGGTGGATTAGTCAGGAGAGATATACGTAGATTATGCCTCCTTGAAGGCTCGAATTAGTTCCTCGTGTTATCAATACAGGTAGGTCGAGTAGGCGTACTGTTGTAAGTCCTACTCGTTCCTGTAGTGTGATATGCTACATAATGAACCATGACCATAGGCATCAAGGTAGCTTGTGTGATATGGAGGGATTTTGGGGGCCGGTGTAAGATCCATTTTGAATTGCCTTATGTGTTTGTGAAAATCCCTCCATGTATATACTTGTACTTTGTTCCTATTGATTCCCTTAGTTGTACATTGTTGTATTTTGATTACATTTGAGTTGTTAATACTTGTATTTTTTATTATAGTTTTTGTTTTTCTTACGCGTTCACTAAGTTCGTGTTTCTTCCTGAACTGCATTTGTGTTGTTTTACTTGACACTTGTTCTTGGCGGTAGCCATATTGATTTGTTCCTCCTGTTGTGTGTGATCTATCCAGCCAGGATAGAATAACGTTGATTTGTTGTGATTGGTAATTTCTCCTCATCTTCTATCAACTTCTTTATTATTGTAATTTAGATTTAATTGATTGAACAATCATTGGTTGAATAGCCGGGTGGTAATATTTGTTTAGGTAATGATTTACATTAAATTTATTATGAATTATAGAACCGCTAGTTACCCGATTACTTGTTCTGATTTTGACGGGAAAGAGCGCGTGTCTAAAAATCCCCG